TCCTGGTCCTACCTCTGTACCTTGGGTGAGAAAGCATCTTGGGCTTTTTGTATGTGTGCAGCTCACTGCACATTCCACTGGGACACTGAATTGCTCTTCATACTGTCCCTCCTCTCTGCCACTGAAACATGCCTGATTGGAGACTGTGCATAACTAACTCTCCCCTCTTCCCCGGGAGACTCCACGCGCTGCCTGCTACTGCTTCAGCTTGTCAGAAGGACAAGCCCAGACCTCACGGAATGCTCAGAGGAGGGCAATTCTGCTCCTCTGGGACCCTGTGCAGCACACAGCCAGCATGACAGCCAACCTGGAGCAAACATTTGGACATAGGAATGGGGAGCAGATGCCCAGGCAGCCATGGGCAGGGATGGCCAGAGTGGAGGGATGGCGAGTGCCTGAGGCTATTGCTGACTGGACACTGAAGGTGGGGAGGGAGGGAGGAGGGGAGCAGCTGCTGGAAAGGCAGAAGGTCCTCACCAAATGCTACAAAGATCCCCTGAAACTTGTTTGCCCAAAGCAGCTTCTACCTTCCCAGAGTATCTTCCTTACCATTGCACTTCATGCCCCCATTCTTTTCTGGCTTTTCATTTATATATAAAAGGGTGTTTGAGATTGGGGGCTGGGGCAGTTCACAAATGTGATGGACTTACTCATCTCACCCTAGAGACAGACATTATCTCAGATGATGTCCCCTCCCCACCATGTAGGATGAGAAATGGGGATGGTGTTCATTAATAAAGGAGGAGGGGGTCTAAGGAAAACTGGATGTTGTACAAAGGAAAGAAGATGCAAAGTAAAAAGCCCTGGTGGAAATAAAGTGCTCAACCAGTCCTGTATCCATTAAAGTAATAACATCATCGCGTGGCAGGTTTATCACTCCCTAGCAGCTCCTCAGTGTAGGAGCCATGGCTCTTTTTAAAAATGAGAACGGAGTTGCATGCTGCTGCTCCAGTGTGCTAGGGCAGGTCCCCCTGTCCCTCCCCCAGGGCTCCTCTTACACATCCCCCCAACCACCTTGGACTTCTCCCAGCCTCTAGAACCATCACTAAAATTCATTTCACTCCTTAATTAGATTTCATGGAGTAAGGGACTGGGAGGGGTGCTGGGAAAGGCGTTCATATGCCCTCTTTCCGCAGAGAGGGGTAATGCTGTTGATAGAGGAGGTGGGACAATGGTTGCTATGGAGACATATTCTCAGACATACAGACACACACTCATTTTAATGCCTCTCTCTCTCTCTCTTTTTTTTTTCCCAGCAGGGGAAGGATCCAGTGCCCTATTTTTAGTGTCAGATTTCAGCAAAACAATTCACTTTCATTTCATCACACTCGCGGGCACGCACACACACACACACACACACACTGCTGGGTTTTAAAGTAGGTCACATCTTCTAACTGTATCAAGAGCTCAGATCTGTCTTGCTTGAGTAATGGAAGGTTCCACTGAAGATTTTACTGATTGAGACGAAGATCTCAGACTTGCTTTGGTGCAGCTTGCTTTCATCCTGCTTTGACAGGCATTAGAATAGGCAGAATGAATAGCTGTAGGTAAATCTACATTTTAAAGACTAATGCAAAATGTCGAAGTCCTGATAATAGTAGGAGGAGATAGAGAAATTAAAAATGACAAACTCGTCTGTTATTTCTGTTATCAGATTATCACTGATTATTATAAAAAATATTCCTTGAGCACCAATACTATACAGCTCATTGGGAAAGAAATAAGTCCTGGCTGGTAGCCGTCCAATTTAAATTTTTTTGTTGTTTTGTTTTGGTACCGGGGATTGAACTCGGGTCCTTGCACTTGCGCAGCAGGCAGAAAAACCACTGAGCTAAATCCCCAGCCCCTAATTTTTTATCTTTGCTTTAAATCGACTGTGTCTGACAGAATATGTGAATTCAAATTGGGGTTTTCTTCCTGTCCCATCTCAAGTTGCAGTTTTTGAGGGCTTCTGTCTGCACTTGCTTTGCGATCTTTGCCAAATCTCACAGTCCTCTGTGACTAGAATACCCCATTGACTGGAAAGAGCTCTAGATGTTCCCCTGACAGAACTAGCCCAAGGCAAGTCTGTAAATTGGCCAAGTGTCTAGCTTTGAAAGCCCCAGACTTACGCCCCCGCCCCCATCTTCCCAATGCTTCTTATTCCATAGAGGCCAGTTCTTCTCTCAAGACAGTAGCAAACATAGGCCAAGTGAAGAAGGGCTAATCTAATTTATTTATTTATCTACTTATTTCAGTACTAGAGGTTAAACCTAGGACCTCATGCATGCTAGGCAAGCACTCTACCACTGAGCTGCATCTTGAGCCCTTAAAAAAAACTTTTTTTGAGACAGGGTCTTGCTAAGCTGCCCAGGCTATCCTTGATCTTATGCTTCCTGCCTCAGCCTTTCAAGTAACTGGGATTACAGATGTGTGCCACACTACACTAGATGAGGAACGGCTAGTCTCTTCTCACTTGAAGCTCAGTGCCTATTAACTGGAGCCTTTTGTTTGTTATTTCCACACCGGCAAAGACCTCTGGGGTCTCTTTCATAACACAGAGTAAGGAATCCCAGTGAGTACAACCCAAGGGTATCCTGTGGTCCTCAGCTTTAAAAATTGAGAAAGAAGCATGGAATGAAATAATCAAGGTATTAATACTGATAGTGTCATCCAAGTAGCAAATGTTCAGTGGGTTTTTATTTCCTCCATAACTGTATGCTGTCCAAACTTAACTGAGCATACATTGCCTTCTTAATCAGAAAAGAAAGTAATAAAAATAAAAACAAGAATTAAGACCTCATAGTGAATAGTGGTCTTGTGCAGGTTGCTATGCAATGAAGTCTTTTATGGGTGATTTTCACAACTGAGATAGAAGTTATGATCCCCATATAACAGATGAGGAAGCTGATGAGTACAGAGTGTGCCCATGGCCATACAACTAGTAAATGGCAGAATAAGATCCAAACATAGACCTGTAAAAGCACAAACCCATGTGCTAAGACACTAACCAAGTGCTTCCCAAATGAGTGTAGCCACCATTTATTAAATACTTAGTAAGTGCTAAAACCCATAGATCTATTTGATATATATTATATCAAATGTGGACAATAAGTTTATTTTAAAATCTGCATTACACAGTTAAAAACTAAGGTTCATAAATGTGAATTTACCCAAAGTCATAAGTAGAAAGTAATGGAGTGAGGGAAACTTGAATCCAGGTCTCTGCAAAGCTAATAGTAGTGCCATAGGCTGTAGGTTCAGATTGGGGGATTGAGAAAAACCTTACATGGGCATTCTCTAACATAGATGCCCTATACAGATAGTATATACACAAAGTTCTATTCATTTTAAACTCTGGGTTTTGATTACCTATTTATTTACCTGCTCTGTAGATCATAGATCTATACCTATAAGAGATAAAAGTCTAGGCATGGAAGGTTTGGTCAGGCAACCCACTAGTATGGATGTTTTGCCTATAAAACCATTGATTCGGACCATCTGAGTCCCTGGATCTCTGGTACAATTATTGTGGACAGTTACATGGAGAGTTACATGCTTTTCTGTTATATTAGAGTGATTAAGCTACCATTGGTAGCGATGTCACCTATGCTAACCAAAATACAAATTGGTACCAGAAGTGGGGTACACAGATATTACACAAAATATAATTTGTATAATATCTGTGTCCTAAAATTATATATAATTTTAATATAATATAATATTTTATTATAATATTACTATATATACTATAATGTCTGTCCTAAAATTCATGAGCAACCTGAAAATAGGAAACAAAAGCTAAACCAAACCAATCCTTATGATATTAAAGAAGTAACACATGATACACTCTCTGCCTTTGGCCTGCTATCTAAATTGACTAGCAGTTCAGTGATCTGGGAACTGAAGGTGAAAAAGACAAATGTTCTGAGTCTGAAAAAACACCTTCATAGGCAGTGGAACCAAAGCTAAATTACATTCAAGTGCTAGTAAAAGTTCTCTGTTAGACAATGAGTGGTTGCTTAGTGGTTACTATCTAAGGAAAGGTATTACTTTCCTTCCAAAACCTGTTGTTTCAGATAGTCTCCACCAGCTGTCATTAAATCGGGGGAAGAGGAGGGCAGAAGACAAAAGGTAAAAGGTAAAAGACTTGAGTCTTGATGTTTAAAAACTATTTTTAGACAATTTCATTGACTACTTTACTCATGGGTGGAACCCATAGAAGGCAAGTGGAAGAGACACCTCCTGCGCTTTGAAGGGATTGCACTGTCCAAAATCCATAAACTTACCCTTCCAAAGCCTATAATGATTCAAATCTAAAGCAGCTCTTGTGCCTGTAAATTTGCATCAGCAAGAAGGGGGCTCTGAAAGCCAAAGCCATGTGGCCCACATAGGACATACTTGCCACTTCCTGCCTTAGGCACGCACAGAGGATGCTGCACACAGGAGAACCTCATCAGAACAGTCACTTGACTTCTTTTTTCCTTGGACAAGAGTTCCCTATATGCTTGTTCATCAAGATTTGATCATTACTATAAGGTATGACTTGGGGGCTACACTTTCTGAGGGGAGTTTTGTGTTTTTCTTGTTCTTACTCCATCACAACTCACTTGCACTTGAATTTTTAATGCAATAGTGTTAATGGAGGGCCTTAAGGAGGTGATTAGGTTATAAACTCCACTCTGACAAATGGGATGAGTATCCTTATAAAAGGGCTTGAGGGACTCTGATTGGTCCTTTTCTTGCCCTTCTGCCTTGCGAGGATGCAGCAGAAGGTACCATCTTTGAAGCAGAGACTTCATCAGACACCAAATGTGCTGGCATTTTGATCTTGAATTTCCCAACTTCCAGAACTGTAATACATTTTTATGATTGATCAGTTACCCAGTTTAAAGTATTTTGTGATAGCAGCTTGAACTAAGTCAGTTTGCAGGGCTGTGTAACATCACCTCTGGACTCAAAGAGGGAGACTATGTGCCACTTAGAAATCTTGACTTAGAGCTGCAGGCAGTCCTTAGAGAGGCTTTGTGGTCTTCCTCCTCGGGGAAAGGATGCGTCCTACATGAGGAAGAGGAATATAAAGATATTTTGGGGAGATCAAAAGGGTAAACTATGGCAAAGGCTGTTTAATTGTTGCAAAACATTTGTTTTTTACCATTGTGTAGTATTAGAATTCTTAATGGTCATCCAGGCACATGTTGGTAAAAAGACTTCACTTTCCAGTCTTCCTGACTCTTCCTCAGTCAGGTAAGCTCATGTAAGTTTTCGTCAGTTTGCTATAAGTAGAAGTAGTGTAAGTAACTTCTAGCAAGTGTTCTTGAAGGGAGGAGCTATTCTCTTATCTTTACTTTTTTCTTCTTTATTCTGAATAGAATGGGGATGTAAGGGCTGACTGGAGCTAAAGCACTCAGTTATCTCATGAGATAATTTAGGACATGAAAACTATGTGGATAAGGCATAAAGATGAGAAAACAAACTGAGTCTCTGTCATTGTGGATTATTTTACAATCTGTGAACTGTTTATTGGGTTTATATGAAACAAAAATAAATTTGTATGTATAATCCACTTTGGGGGGACTTGGGAGAGTTCAACCTCACTCTGCTGAACCTAATCTTAATGAATACTTGAGAAGTTGTGCTTTTGAGTTAACCCAATTTTTCTAAAATGAGCATATATCTTGGGGGCTGAAAAGCCACAAAGTGAAGTAAACACAAGGTTACTATATCCATATGATACATTAGTTAGAAGAGAATTGAAGCTCAGGGAACTTGTATTCTGCTGTGCTATAATTTATATCATCATCAATATCTATAGGTGAATAAATACCCATCCTTTTTTTGTTTTGAGGCACTGAAACATCAGAAACCTAAGTTCACTTACTCCTCTGGGCTTTGGCCAAGGTGCTTGCCTGCTAACTCATTAGATGACCATTTTCCAGGCAGGTTTAGGAAGAAGTGCCCAATAGGCACAGAAGAGCTGAGGCTCTGGAAAGTTTTTTTTTTTTTTGGTACCAGGGATTGAACTTGGAACCTTGTGCTTACGAGGCAGGCGGCGGAACCACTGAGCTGAATCCCCGGCCCTCTGGAAAGTGACTGAACGATTCCAGGCTGTTTAAAAGTGAATCAATTTTCAATATTCCAACAATTATTTAAATTTGGTTCTTACCTAATTTGGTATAAATCTATTTTTACTCTCTAGCTCCTTCTATCTCAGAACTGACTTGGTTTTTTAATGTGGGAACTTTTATGCTTTATTTCTTCCAAATTATATTTTATTAACTTGATGCAGTTGAAGCTTGCCTCTGATATCATAAAATTACTTAATCCCTTCAATATAATATCAATTCAAAGACTTCATTTTTGGTTACCTAAATATTACTAGTTCCCTTCCATTTCCTCTCTTGTACAATGATAACGGTTGTTTATAAAACCGCTTTGAAATTACCAAGGGGAAAGAGCAACATCAAGATAAAGTGCTGTGTTGTTCTTCCCTAGAATTATGCCTTGGCTCAAATTTGAACTTGGGATATAAATTGTAAAAGGCTCTGCCAAGAGTGCTCCAGTTCTGATATGCTGCACTGGATGAATTTCTGCTTCTAACCCAGGTCACTGTGCAATTTGAGGGAGATGGGAAGGGAGGATCGGGCAGGAAAAGGATGAGTTTTGTCCTGGGGCTATTATGCTACCAGTGTACTCAGAAATCCACTTCTCCACTTCTTCCTTCTTCCCTCCTTCCTTTCTGGTTTTCTTCTTCCTAAATTTTCCAATTCCTTCTTTCCTACCATCCCCCCCCACACACTTTTTTCCTTCCTTCCTCCCACAAATGCTCATTGAATATGAGGTATCTCATCTTTAAAGATAGTGCTACCAACGAACTGGGGTCACATCCAGATACTGCAGACAATGGACCAGGGGGACTCCTGGGGAACAGCCAGCACATGTGCCAGGCCTGTCCCTCAGGTGATGCCATTCCCAGCTGCCATGACTCCCTGCACATGGAGATTCCTAAGAAAACACTGCCTACTGATCCTAGTCAACCCATGGCATTGTGAGATTGTTTAAAAAACTATTGTTTTAAGTCATTGTGTTTCAGAATGGCTTAAGATGTAGCAAATGGTCATTGGAATGAGCACTTAGTATGAGGCAGAAACTATTCTAGAACCTGGAAGGTGAAAGTGAACAAAGCAAATAAAAATCAGTGCCCTCAAGAACCCACATAGTAATGGGAAAGAGAGTCAATAAAACACACACACACACACACACACAGAATAATAATAGCCAAGGAGAAAAAGTAAAGAAGCAAAAGGGAATATGGAAATGTGGAAGTTTCGGGTAGGGTAGTCAGGAAGGGATTCACTGAGATGACTTTTGAGTTAAGAACTAAGAGAGAGTGGAAAGTTAGCTATGTGGCTTACCTGGGGGAAGACTATTCAGGGAAGCACACAGTAATCATAAAGCCCCTAAGAGGGGAGTGTGTCTGGTGTAGTCAAAGAACAGCAGAGTCCACTGCAGCTGGGCAAAGGGAACCAGGGCAGGTAGTTGGTGATTAGGTTAAAGAGGCTGGGGTACAGATCAGTCCTGAAGGTCTGAGGAAGGACTTTGGCCTTCGTTCTGCATGAGACCAGAGCCACCAGAAGACTTCAAGTGGAGGAGTGATGTCATTTGACTTCTGATTTAACAAGATCCCTCTGGATGCTGTGTTGAAACAAAAGCAGACTGTGCCAAGGAGTGATGAGCACGGCTGGGGTCTGGGTGGTGACAGGAGTAAGTGGTGAAGAAGAGATTACATTCAGCTTGTATTTTAAACATTCTTTTTTTTTTTTTTTTTGTGGTACCGGACCGAACTCGGGTCCTTGTGCTTATGCAGCAGGCAGCGAAACCACTGAGCTAAATCCCCAGCCCAGCTTGTATTTTGAAAGTGTAGCTGATGATGGACTACCTTTGGGGTAGGTGAGAAAGAGAGAAGCCAAGGATGATACCAAAATTTGAGCAACTAGAAAAGGATGGTGCTATTTATTGAGACAGAGTACTCAGCAGATGGAGCAGATTGAGGGAAAATGTCCGATGCTCCTTTTGTATTTCCTAATTTGTCTTCTTCCTGCCCTTTCTCCCTTCCCATTGAAGTGGGATGTCTCCCTATCCCACACATTTTTCAGGGAAGGCAGCCTTTCCTTTGAAATCTGCAGCCACCATTTGAGGTCTAGGGATCCAATTATAAACAAGTGTCCAGTCCAGTTTGTTCCTGTCTTAGTACACTCTGGGCAGAGATGCTGGCTGCTGAATGAAGCTGACCAACATGAGTCATATTCAAAATATGGAAAGTGGGGAAAATCCTTACCTCTTGTAATGACCATGGATGTTGATGAGAGCTGGCCCACCCACCAGAGTTAAGCTCAACAACAGATACTCTCAATCAGATTTCCAGGACTGCTAAGGAGAGAAAGATCCTTGGGTTCCCTCATTCTGTTGCTTCCACAGTGGGATGTCAGATATCTCATAGACACACAGCAGAGATGTGGGCTGAGGAGCAATATTATCACAAAATAATTTAGAAACTCAGTAGAAGAAAAAGTGGATGGGAAATTTCCTAGTGGTTGAGGCTTTCCAGGGGAAGGTCAAACAATGTGGAATCAATCAAACCTGGAGCATAGAGTTGGTACATGCATCCCCTGCTCTGCTGCCTCCCAGTGGGTCTTTGACACGAGGGATCCTTCACTGTTGAGCTTTCTCAGTATGCTCGGTCATCCAGCCTGCACTTCTGGCTGGTCTTAGTAAACACCAGTGAGTGAACAGACCTGGAGGATCACAGTCAGAAGTGTACTGCTAAATCTTTAACAACTGGATTCTGGACAGAGGGGGCTGACTGATAGAGTTTGCCTATTTCCTTTGTGTAAATACTCCTACTATGACTATTTCGGGCTACCAATGTGAGGTCGCTGAACATAGATTTAGGAATGAATCACCATGTATGCAATTTCCATCAAGCAGTTACAATAGAGGGAAATAACTCCAAGAGTATGGATAGAACAGTCAAGTGTGATAAAATAATTATAAGGGATATGTTTTGAGTACTTGTCACCTTAGTTTTAAACATAATTATTTCATGGAAAGTATACAGAATATAATATTTATTAATGGCTACGTTTAACACTTGGCTCTCAAAATCCCTGAAAATTTAACAATCAGTTTTTGTAAGCCAGTATGAGCCAGCTCCAGAAGACCGCGGCTTTATAGCTCTTAGCAGTCATCTGCTTTGCTTACATACAGCCACCTTTCTGATCTCAGGCTGGCACAGCCTTTGCTACTTGGTCGGCTTGTCTAAGTTAACAAGGCCCTGGCCCACTGATTCCATCGCTCTCCAGCCGAGCAGGAGCCAATCTCTACTTCGGAATTTAACTTGAACTTTAATTCCTTCTCTCCTAGGAAGCACTGGGCTCTCCTGCAAATAGGCCCCCCTCTTCTAGAATGTCCATATCTGCACAGGGAAAAATGGAAAGGGTTTTGTCTGGCAATGGGGAGGAGAGGGAAGGGGAACAATTCTGTCACAACTTTGCCCACCCTGACCTACATTTATAGAACTAAAAGAGACTGTAAGTGATTTGTCACTGAACAAGGAATATGTGCTTAAGGATGCTGTGTGCTTCTATGGGATAGTGGAGCCAACAATACCACATTTATGTAAGTAACTACGGGAAGCCACTTAAGAGGTTCTTCATAGAACCAGGAAGGCATACTTCAGTGTGACTTTTTTTGTTGTTGTTATTCTTGCCTATAGTAGGGAAAAGCAACTCCAACTACAGAAAAGAAAAACACAAGTTTACTCTAGACTGCTTTTTTAGGGAAGTCTCGAGTCCCTCTCATTTCCTCTGCTGTCTCCCCTCCCACCCCAACTTTATTTCTCCTTACCCTCAACAATTACACAGTGCACAGAGGGCCAAGGAGGTGAGCCATGCAGGCACCAACACCCACCCCACCTTCTGCCCCTCCCCCCTCCACTGTGCTGAGCCATTACCTGGATCCACACCGAATAGTTGCAGGGATAATAAAGGACATTGTTC